TTTCTTTAAGCTCTGCTTCTGCCAACCATGCTATGCCCCTTGCTGTGTTGTTTGGTCCTTCTGCTTTGAATTACAGTAATAAGAAGCAGTTTGGCAGAGAAAACATCAAGTCTTTTCCTTCCTGCTGTGCCTTCACAAATCAGTTTCTATGAAAATATATGTCACTGTGCTCAAAATTACTGTAAGAGGGGAAATGAACACTTTGAAAATCATTCTTTAAATAAACATTCTTTATATTCTAGAGCAAAAGAAATAATACATTATAATCTGAATAGGAAAGGAAGATACTCTTTGCTCTGAAAAAGTCCTGCTTCTTTTGTTGCCATCACTTTGGGTCTCACATCCTATGGCCTATAAGTGAGGAAAACCCATCCCACACATGGCAGCTGGGAATCTGAAGTCATCCCTTGTAAGACAGATAAGGAAGTATTGGCTGGAAATATAGACATTAATATAATATGAGTTTGATTTTTCTTCTCATCTCTTATTATTTTCTCTTTTATTATTTATCTTCTATTTTTAATTTCTTGGAATTTAATTTTAAAATGAGGGTATCATTCTGCTGTCACAGACCATTGCCAATGAAACTGTACATCAATAATATCATGAAAAGTTCACACCATCAAGAGCTATACTATGAAAATAATAACAATTTAAGACAAAATAAACAAAAAATATTTTCATTATGTTCATACAGAAAATAATAGGTCAAGGTTACAGAAATAGACTGGTTTTATTTTCCTATGCTGATATTATGCTTTAAGTCTGAAATCTCTGTCTGGTTCCAAAATAAATTACTATCATTTAATTTGTATCACATTTCTATATTCAACAGTGATTTTTTGAGTATTTAATTCAGTACTTCTCAACACTGAGAATATAGTACTTAACAAAATAAATCTTTGTCATAATTGAACTTTTGTTCTGATGAGTAAAATAGATAACACATACCATAAATAAACAAAACAGTTAATTTCTTGAGTGTTCTTGGTGCTTTATAGAGAAACAAAACAAGTGGCTGTAGACAGACAAAACACAGTGAAGAGCAAGGGATCTGGGATTGAAGACAAAGCAGGCAGGGTGAGAATCACAGTGGGGATTGTAGTAGTTATGATGTTGCTGACTTTTTCCTTGAATAAATGAAGAAATGATAGCTTATTAAATAGATGACTAACAATGTTTCAATTAAACATCATTAAATTATTGGTATGACAAGAAATCATACAAGGGAAGAAAATTATTAGCAACTAAAATTTTTCTTCCTATTAGGTGCCTAGAAAAATGCACTGTATATATTGATGGGTGCCTGATTATATAACAGGCCAATGGACTGGAATTACATGCCTTAGAGGCAAATAATAAATTTCCACATTAAAGTGGGAATTTTTATTAAAAAATGACTTATAGATATAAAAAAAATCACTTGACATAAAATGTTGGTTGAATCATTCAGTCTGTCCATTTCTCCCTGATGCCCCTTCTTTCTTATCAGCCCCTGACCCTCACTTCACCCCTCACGCTGGTGGCTGCCATACACTCAAGCCTCTTGGCCTGAATCTGTCAGCTACTAGGTCATCCTGTAATCAGGCTCCTTCACAGACATGCTTTCCTTCTCAGCACAGCTCATTTTACTCTCTCTTTCTTGTAAATTTTCTAGACTCATGTGTTAGAAACTTCAGTTATTTCACTTTCATAATCCAAAGAGTACATTATTTTACTTTAGCTTTTTGACAGATGTTATTTGAATCAGAAGAGATTTTATAGAGCTAGAACCTAAATTGTTAATATCTAATATAAAGATATGCTGGACAACATTCTTTCTTTTCTAGAAATTTTATATGAAATTGAGCCACATTAATTAATTAGAAAATAACTTTGCTTAGGGAGAATAAATCTGAATAAGAGGAAAAGCAAGTAGGTTGAAGACTGAGAAATTACCTGGAAGTATCAAAGAGTTTATATCTGTTAAAGACTGAATTGTGGGCCACCAAGATTGCTACATTAAATAACTACATAACCTCACTATAGGATGACTAAATTTAGAAATAGGATTTTACACAAGAAATGAAAGCTGACTGAGGTTATAAAGGTAGATGGTGATCTTATTGGACCAGTGTCCTTATTCATAGAGGAGGAGACAGCAAGGAACAGTGTGTCCAGAGAAGATCCTGTTGAGAAGTGTTTGTACAGGGTATCATATTCTAGTCACGAGAAGTGGAACTAACAGAAGTTAAATTTGCTGACACTTTTCCAGCCCCTTCTATTGTAAAAATAAACCCAACTAAATGTCTTTTGCTTAATACCAGAAACACCAGTGTATAGCATTTTCATTGGAGAAACCCTGGCTGAATAATACAGTTATGTCAGGGATTTCAATAAATAAGACTAGAGCAATGGATATGCAGAAGGGTTGGAGTATGGACCTCAACTTACCCTGACTTTGGGAAGACCAGAAACTATCAGTTCATAAGAAAAGTCTATAAGTTTGAACCAGAGCCATAGAAAGAAGCCAGAACTAAAGAGGTTTAGAAAATTCATTCAAATTATTTGTAGTGTAGGGACCAAATATTCCTATCCCCTCAAATTTCATATATTAAAATCTTAATCCACAATAGGATGAAATTGAGAGTTGGGACTTTAAGGAGGTGTTTTGGTTTATAGAAGATCTAGGAATGGATAGAATACAGATGACAGAATTACTATCTTTTTAAGAATATTTTGTGCTTTAAACTGGGCAAAGATGCCAAAAGAAGGACCAGTGAGACAGCTCAGGAGAATAGGCACCTGCTCAGGCAAGTGTAAGTTCCAGGTTTGATCCTTGCCATCACAGGCTGCATTATCCCTGCACCAGGGTAAGCTAAGCTGGCCACCGATACTGGGCCTGGTGGCACATGCCTGTAATCCCAGTGCTGGGGAGGCTGAAAACAGGAGAAGCACTATGAGTCCAAGTTGCATAAGGAGACCCAAATACATAATTTTATTTTTTTAAATGCCAAAAGAGAATGTTGCCTCCATGTCACAAATAGGCCCTTAGGATCTGTCAGCATCTTGATCATAGACATCTCATTTATCACGTTAGAAACAGAAATTTGTTGTTTGAGCCACAGTCTATAGGAATTTTATTATACCTTCTCAGTCTGAGTAAGACACCACTATTTCTACAAATGGTGTAAATCAGTAGGTTTTAGATCAAACAGTTATGAAGACCCCTACCTAATTATATGATAATAAATTTCATGAAATTTAACTTAAGAAAATAAATATTAAATTTCATATTAATAATGAAGTGAATAAATAATATTCTTTGTATCTCAATTTTTTCATCATTACTACTTATTGCAATGATGTCATACTACTTATAGTTTCATTGTCTTTATTGTTTCCATAGAAAATCTATTTATGTAAGATAAAATGAATAATTTATTTAATATTGTATAAAACTTAACAATTATATACAGATTTTAAAAAAAGTTAAAGAATAAATAATGAATTCATTTAGTCTAATTCTTTAATTTCAGAGGTAATAGAAGTGAGATTGATTAAAATAAAATATTGAAGGATTAGCATAAGTAATAAGGCAGGGCAGTAGCTAGAATCCAATAATTATGCATCCAGAAACAGTTACATTATGTTCATTTCTGAATATGGTCATTTTTAACACGTGCATTCTAGATACTCTTATGTGTCAACACTATGTAGTATCATTTTAGAGCTTAAATTTTGTCAATTGTGAACTCTGGTTGTCATTATTTCACAGATGACACAATTGAAACAAATATATAACTGATGT